AACTTTTTCTTTTCAAATTTCTCACTAATCTATCCTGGTGCAGCAAACGATTAAGACAAGCCACGCCGTCTCTGCTGGAGGAGAGCGTCGTGGAAAAGAGCGATCGATAATAATCCCATCATGCAAGTGGCAGTCAGCGCCAGCTATCAGGGACATCTGAGAATCCCCCCCCCCCCCCCCCCCCCCCGGGGGTCAGCGAGGAGAGGCCAGGTCGCGTCAGACGTCGGTGACACGAAACACCTTGCCGGTACAACTTGTTTTTCTACTACCAAGGGAATATCGTGGAAGAGCACGCAGGTAGGCTCAAAGGGCGCAGGTGTGCTAAAGAGCTCAAGCACACATACGTATATACGGCCACATTAATATTATGTAGAGTCTTTACAGAGTAAAGCCAACAACCATTGTTGCACACAGTCCAGAACGGTACCTTGTTATATTGTCGAAGACATCATTGGAACGAAGGGTTTTGCTTATCCCATATTTAAAATATTTTTGAAAATATATGTGAATAGTACTGTAAAGGTTTTAAACCCTCGGCTAACGCCGAAAAATTATTCAAGAGGTACGGGGTCATCACGCCCATTTACGTGTGAAAAGATCTAGCAGATGAGCGAAAAACCTTGAAAAAGAACGCTCTGTTGGAGAACTGAACTCGGGCTAACTGCACTGTTGTTCAGCAGTAGAGCAATAATTGGCACGTTATCATCAACTTTGTCCTTTCAAGATGACAAAACTGGGATATGAGTTAGAGAATCCCACAAACGACCCCCTTAAAAAACCAACCAGCACAACAAAAGACACCAAAAATCAAAACAAAACCTAAACCATCTCGACTCTCATTTTATTACAAACTGATTTTCAGGAAAATTGGATCATTTCCGTAAGTGCAAGATCCCTGCAAGAACGTGAAAACGTTCTTCCATTAATCAGGTAAGAATTAATAGGACTCTTTAAACTAATAATCGAGAGTACCGAGCCGAGAGCGGTCAGCCCCTGTGATAGGTTCTTAATTACGGAATACCCTAGTGTACGTAATGGAGGGAGATTCGGCACTCAGCAAGCTTTGAGAACACGATGCCCCAAACTGAGCTCAACATACAACACGCGTTCGCAGACCTCGGGGAATGCACCACACCGAAATGCACCATGTACGCGTATTACTTTTCGCTGAGCTAGCGAAACGAGAGAAACTATCTCTTACACTGAACACCCCCTCAGTGGTAACACGATAAAACACGAAATAAGATCATAAGTACCGCAGTAAAAGGAAGCAGGAGGTAACTTGTTTTCAATAGAAACCTGGTAATAATTTCGTTCAGAATAACCCACGTTACTGTGTTCTTGATTTGTGTGCAAGGTGCAGAGAGACATAAAGGTGAAGGAGGAACACACAAAAAAAACAGCAGCAGAGACTGAAGACGTGCTTTCGTTAGTATTTCTGTCTGCTTTTTGTTCTTAGCCTTTAGACCAGCAGTTTGTTAGGAGCATACTCGGTGCGGCCATATTTTTCCAGGAATAGACAAGGACAATGGAAACACTGAAAGAAAAAAACAAGGGTCAATCGGCATCAGAACCACAAACCACCCGCGGTCTTGTTTGTTTGAGTAAAGCAAGGTTCATCGACATTCACACGGTCAGTTCGCGTACGGGAAAAAAAGTATGACATACCGACGTAAACAACGTACCAGTGCCATCCTTCAACCACCCATCCCCACAATCTTATGACAGAAAGGTATTGGTGAGGAGTAAACAGTGGAAAGTATGTAATCAAACGACAAAATCTCAGCTGTGTTGTTGGCAGAATACAGACTCACCACATAATATCAAAATATGAAAACCACATATGTGTAATGTACATTGACGACAGCAGGTAGAGCTAACGAATACAAAGGTGTGAGATAGTGGAGAGTGACAAAATATTATGTAAAATACATTCATAGTCTCAGGACATAGCACACACATACATCCGAGACTGGCTAGCCCCAAGTTGACTCAATCAAACAATTACATTGGAAACCCGAAAAGAAACGGAAACCAGGAGAAAAGTATTGAATCACTGATATGCATGTGTATAAATATATTATTATTACAAGTTCCTTTACAGATATGAAGCAACAAATATAAATTCATAATTTCATGAAAATTACATTACTTTGAGCACACACAAAATACTGTAACGGTGCTCGCATGACCTGTGTCATGAAAGTGGCGATACAAAAATACACTAAAGAGTTATTTATGTCTGCCTAGACCGCTGTGTTGTATGTATTTCATTTAAGAAAACAAAAGTTTTTCCCTAACCTAGCAAAATTCTCATACAATAAACGTTGTGTTGACGTTCAACCCAAAATCCAGGCAGCAGCCGACTTGATCACAACGTGATTTAACAGTCTCGTGACTATCAGTAATCAAAACCTACCAAAAAAGGATGAACAATAAGACAAACACAAACAAACAGATAGACAGACAAACAGACATAAAGACGGACACAAAATATAAACAAAATAACCAAACCAAAGGAAAACAAAACATGGAAATATTAATTCCGCGTCAGATTCCTTGGGAGTGTGCCAGTCTCAGAGAGGAGTGACGATCTACTGTGAAGGTGCCACGACGTGTGTACAAGACAACACTCACGTTATACACTTGGGGGCTTGGTGAAAAGCTCAACTCATACAAAACGGAAAACAAAACAAAACAAATAAAAATAAAAGTGTGTGACACGGAGGATTCTGGTACTCTGATTTTATCATAAATCGTTGGCAAGCTGTTTAACTGTCTTAAGCCCAGAAAGCAAACTTTTTCGTAAGAGAGAGAGAGAGAGAGAGAGAGAGAGAGAGAGAGAGAGAGAGAGAGAGAGAGAGAGAGAGAGAGAGAGAGAGAGAGAGAGAGAGAGAAAGAGAAAATTGTATCATTCTTTTAATAATTGTACTATATTTACGTACCTTTTGGTTTATTTTTTACATTTAGAATTTTGATTTTGACAAAATATTCCTCAGGCCCCTGCAACGGATACCATTAATTCCGTTGCGTTGACGTTCTACAGCAATAATCTTTTAAAAATCAAAAATATTTGGGCGTAAAACTTTTGAACAGCTGGTCAACGAAATACATTCTGCGAACACCCACCATCTAAGAGCCTAATAGCAGAATCCACTAACGGAGCATATCAAAACTGTTCCTAAAGAAACGGTGCACTTAAATATACCGCAGATTTTGAGTGCCTGATAACTTTCAAAGCACCTCGTAGATAATTCCACTGTACCTAATGAAATAATTAAAGTACAGAAAATAGAACTTGACCTTCTCCATCATCACCTTATCTTTTCAAAATCCCGTATTTTCACCGCACACAGTACCCTTTTTGAATCCTCAGTGTTAGCAATACTGTAGTTTCCTAAAAAAAAGAACTAACACAAAACATCGAAAAGTTTACATAGGCACGCTATGCCTGACAGCAGCCACACACACACACATTGGAGTCAGAGCAACACAACACAATGGGCTATATGATGAGAGGGTGACAGACCGTTGTGAGAGGTAGATTGCCTTTTGTTACCCCAGAGGTTTTTTTGACAAAACTTTCCTTTGCCATGATAGACTAGCTAAATAATAGTCTGGAAACTTAATTGGTTAGTATAAGCGAAATGGAAACGTCGCAACTGCAAAGAAATAAATATTTAGAGCTACGAGTACCGCTTCTTAACAATTTTTCTTATGGTTTATTAGCTGAGTTTGAAACAGCTTTAAAGCACACATGTCCATGGTGCGACCGCAAACACTGTCCGACTTATCCTTGGCATTCGCTCTCTTTGCCGTCATCAACAAAAGTTGCCTCATACTGTCTGTACAAGAGGCACTAGGTCGGTTTCATGTTGGAAATAAATCACTGATAACTTTACTTCTCAACGTACGAGAACAAACATATGAGCATCTCAAACAAGATTTATTCTTTTTTTTTTTAAATGTCTATTTTGTATTTTTAAAAGTTAAGCAATTGTGTATAGCGTGACTTATATACGACCACCCCTCCTAAGTTGCCATTGGTTCTGTAAACATGCATAACGCAGATGATGTCGGAGGAGGCAAAGGTAAGAATCAGCCGGCTCGTGTAAAAAAAAACAACGGTGAATGGGGCCAACTATAGTATATTATCCAACTTACGGCCCCAAGGAAATTCCCAAAGAGATAAAGCACAATGAATATATTTAAGTTCACCCACAAATGGTGAACCTTCTCGAAGCGACATTATTTTTGTGGCCTATATTCCGTGTGAGAAAGAAGTCTTTCACACGCAAAAGGGAATAATATCATTTTCGATCGGAGCAGTATCTCTCGTACGCTCACTATTCTGTTATCAACATTTCTCATCAAATTCACCCACGAATCTCACCACGAATCAAATAGATAAAACTGCCCATTTACGTTAAATTAAAAACAGGAGCTTGGTAGCGTTAAATCGAGGAAACCCACCTAAACCCTAACCACCTCCCCCTCTTTTTTCAAAATATAAAAAAGAGGACAACAACAACAAAGAAAAGAATCTTGGTCTGTTTAAGTCCGTTGCGGACAGAACATCCATCGAGATGAGTGATACATTCTTTTATATCTTTTTATAAAACCATCCACTACCGATACCAGCTCTGGGTAAACTGACTACAAGACTCTGGGGAACAACAGGCTTTGTGGTACGAAGAGTTACAGAAGGAACGGGTAAAAACAAAAACGAAATGAAAAGAAGAAAAAAAACAACCGCGTGAAAGCTTTCTAAGAAGAGCAGAGGCGACGGTTGTCTACATGAGAAGACTTGAAAAACAGCCAGGTGAGGTGACCTGAACACACACACACACACACACACACACACACACACACACACACACACACACACACACATACAAACGCACACACATAGATAGGCACGTCGTACACAGGCACACACATACACACACACGGGGGACACTGTGTTCTTCTACGACTACTTATAACAGATGTCCACTTACCGTCCACTATGACCTGCACGTGGTGCTCAATATTCCCCAGGTCGGAAGAGGCCTCGCACGTGTAGTTCTTGGACTCCACCACGTTGGTCAACTGCAGGATGTTCTTGCCGATGGGTATATTGTCGTCGCCCGTCAGGTCCTGGGCCGCCTGCCGCCACTTGACGTAGGGCATGGGAGAACCCACGGCTACACACGTCAGGTTCACGTCACTGCCAGGCATTACGCGGGTATCCTCCGGGGCGCGGGTGAACTTGGGCGCAATACGTCTCACTGCGGGTCAGACAAAGACACAGAACAAGATATAAATAATATTATGTGTACACGCTTCTTTTATCCACACTATATCCCCCTGCTTTCTATCAAACATGCCAATACCGGTGTCTGTGCTGTTGCGATTAAGCGCTTTGTTTTTGCAGGAGGCCCGAGTTCGATTCCAGAGCGGGGATAATTTCTTTTTCATCGAGAATCTCGGTCTTTCTGCCGAGATGCTGTATCCCTCTCAGCCCATGTTGGCCCTGGCAGGCAGGGTCAGAGGCCCACCTCCTATATTATGATCTAAATTACGTCGATGGGGGCCTAGAAACGCATAAAAAAAGACATTTTGTTGTTGTCAAACTTCAATCAAACCTTGATAAAAAATACGTGATGGCCATGCTCAAAGCCAACAAAGTCGGAGATACCAGCATGACCCCCCCCCCCCAAAGGGAAAAAAAACAACAATAAGAGGCTAATATTGGTATTATAACAAATATACGGTGGGGGTGATAACAGAAAGTATTGGGAGGGATTCAGAGGACAACAGAGAAAGCCACGCCATTACAGTTAAGAATAATAAGCAAAACACCATGAGCAACACCGTTCACTCTTAACAAGACGTTGAAATGCGAAGGACATCATAACTGCAGAAGCCCATTTAAGCTTTTGAGAGATATATTATATCATTTGTAGTCTATTAATTGCCTTTCTACACACACGCCCCCCCCCCCCCCACCCCAACGATCTTTAGAACGTTTACTATACTCGCAAAATGAAGTAGAAATAGTATTATGGCTTGATATTTGTTTTTGCTGTCTTGTACGTCTTCGCACGCACGCATTAGTGTGAAAGACTGTATATATTTATGTTAACTGTGAGTGAGTAGTATATGCGAATGTATGCACAAGGGTTCGTCTTCTCGAGCCAGGGTGAATGATTTGAGTGAAGTTGCTTTACATGGCAGAATCTTTTTTTTTTTTTAGAGTAGGCAAACAGAAGCTCATCGGCACGACAATCAGGGCATTTGGAGCTGGTAAAGTCGAGTAAGACAGACGAGTAGAAACAGTTGAGGAGACGTAAAGAAGGAGGACATACCAGTGACACCCCCCAACCACTTGCAGTCATTTCCCCCTCTCTCCCCTTGTTTGTGCCACAGGCTAATAATATCAAAATCGAAATAACTTTTTTTCCACTGGCCCCCGACTCCGTGCTTCACAGAGAGCTCAGCGTCGACGCCTACGCACTCACTGAGTCGGGCTAATCGTATCGATTATGCCACCGACAAAGGACAAAAATGTCACAAGCAAAAAGCTAATATGAGAACGTGTCGGTAGTTTGATTGCCCTAAAATTGAATGAATGAACAATGTCCTCCCACGAACTCAGGGCGAAGCTCTGGGGGCTCCTTCTACATCGCGTTGATGAGAGAATCATGAGATAATAGTCGATGAAATCTTCTTCATTTCGGGACGGGGAGGGTAAGGGGTGGGGGGAGTGTTCGTTCAGAGCCTCGTCTTAGTAATGTCATTACCGTTGCTATTAGCACCGCTTTGGGCAAGGACTGCGATGGTAAGGAAGATAAAGTGGCAATGCCGTAGCTGTGGGGGATGGGGGTGTCAAGTATTTAGCAAGAACAGTAGTTAGTTATATATGTACTATTGACTAATTAATAAATTACAAATTTAGGCGCCAAAACAGGACGTGATTTTGAAGAAAAGAGTAGATGAGAACAAGTTACAGTAACACAGAAAATTATTCAAGTCTCCACTTTGAGAAAACAGACGTAAAGGTTACATATAACTGTGTGAAAAGGAATTCAATTTGGCTTCAACTGTGCATCATAACTTCACAGGGAAACAATGCAGCAACTTCAAGTTCCAAGTCTAGCTTGGTTACGCCCAAGATTAAGGCTGGTCAAAGCAACCAGAATAGACTTTGGACATGAGAAAGACATTGTATACAAACAGACCCTTTTTATAATAATAGCTCCACCTCCCCCCCTCCCCCACCAACAACCATACAGCTACACGTTTAATCTGAACGCGCATACGACTTGGCTCGTTTAGTTTCAATAACTGCTGTAAGAGACTTGCAAGACAATAAGGCCATGTAAGTGCCGAGGATTAGACGTGTTGCAAGCAACACCGGCACACACACGCACAAAGAAAGAGGAGAGATAAGGACGTTAGATGTTTGATAGCAAAGAAAGAAGGAGCAAATCACATCAGAGCACCCATCAACCATCCACGAACTTGGGTTCAGGAGTACCTCACCAACACAATGCAACAATGCAAAGGACAAAGAAAAGGGGCAAAAATGCAGTATTTTCAAGTGTCTCCCTCCAGTCTTTCCCGGCATTTGAACTAACTCGTGCACATATTATGACAGATTGACGCACACAAACAAACGCTCAGACTAAAACATACCCGAAAATATTTGAACGCAACCGCACCCTTGCACCAGCCAAATAGCCAACTTAACGCAAGGATAAATAACGCTAATGCCCCAAGCAGTTACCCTTGAAGTCAACAAGTAAAAAAAAAAAAAAAAAAAAAAGAGTGAACACTGAGAAAGAAAACAGATGGGGTTGAAAGAAAATAGAGATTCAGAATGTTTGTTTACACCTGCGGAGAATAATGAAGACAGACGGATGCCGAAGACTGTTTTTGTAGGTTACACACGACTAAAAATCTTCCCTATGCGTCCTTTCTACGAGTAAAACCGAGGCATATGCAGAATATGTTCTCCTACCATGAACATACTCAGAATTACAAGTACAGTTTTAGACTCGAACTCGGGAGACATTTTTACTGCTTGACCACTGAAACGTAGGTGGCAGTGTACCTGAAAGCTGAGCAGACTGAATTATCCTCAAGTATTATTTAAAAAATAGCATATATGTGAGGCAGCCTGGTGGAATCAGGCTATCGTCAAAATAATCAAAGTGAAGAGACTTGCATTTTTCTGCAGGTTTGTGAATTTTTATTAATTTTTTTTTGTGGGCTCAACACCTTTCATGTCCATTAAAGAATTCATTTCTGTGTGGACTTTTAAAATTAAACGTTGATCAAAGGCACAAAAAATGTAAATTTTCAGTTACCACGTACTATAAAGCTAAGGAAATAACTAATCTTTGGTCATTTTCTCTCTAATTTTACCTCTGAAAA